CGCGCAGGCGCACGTATTTCTTTGCGCTTTATTAGCTTTCTCGCTGTGTTTTTGCGCCGGTAGGCTGCTGCACCCCGGGCTCGTGCGGCTTTCTGTCTCTCTCTCTCTTTAGGTGTACCCTTGCGCTTCTGCTATTCGGTTATACACACACGTCTGTATAGCTATACGTGTACGAGTGTATAGACACGCGTTTTGGACTATATAATACATTTAAGCCCCCTCTATCACACACACACGAGAGAGCTGATATCTCGTTTTTGCTTTGCACGACCCGGCCACCTGCTCGCTCGTGAGAGAGCCACGGCACGGCTTATTCCCCGCGTATACACGTGCTTTTCGTTATTAAAACTTGATTAAAATCTCGAAAAATAGGACGTGCGGCATTTTTGATGCTGCACGCGCTTATAATGGGATATACGTTTTACATGTACGAAATAATCACCTGCTCGAACGTATTACACGCAGTGGCGCGCGCGCTCGAGTGGACCTTTTTTTAACGCAGCTTTTTCTCTCGCGCCTGCGGGGGTTGAAAAAATGAGCCCTCACATTCACACACGTACACACGAGCTTGCAAGCTCTTTACGCGCGTTGTATGCAGACGTTAACGTGAAAATGTGCGGAAAAAATGGAGCTGGATAACGAACACGAGTTACGAGTACAAGTATAATCGATGAATATGACCAAGCTATTCTTTTTTTCCATCGCACCTTATATAAAACTCTTTCTTTCACGCTGTGTACATTCTATTATAACTAAGATCGAGAGCTTGCAGGCCGATGTACTATTAAACGTGCGTGGGAGGGGGAAAAGTGACATTGCTCTGATTGAATATTTTCATCATCCACGCGCGCGGACTTTCCGCTGTTCTTTGGTCAACAAAAAGCTCGAGTTTTATCGAGAAAAAAAAGGAGGAAAAAAAACTAAAAAGATTTTTAATCCGGATACGCGCCGTCGGTCTTTACCTCCTCCTTCTTCGTCTTTTTTTTCTTATATAAGAGTTGCCGGTCGAAAGTACAGCATCTGCACTGTGCACGCAGCAATAAAAATCCAAATCGCTTTAAAACTTTCTTTGTCTTACATCTTGGCCGTAGGAAAACAAACTTTTACCCCCCAAAAGTCTCTTCTCTCTTCGATAGCATTACTTTCGAAAGATTTTCTTTAGGGGGGCAGAGGACGGGGGATAAAGAAGAAGACGAAGAAAAAAAGGGGGAAAACTACACGCCGACCTATTGTTGCAATTTTAATTTCCAACCCGGTAACTTTGGCGAAGAATCAGTTGAAGCCTATTTACGACACCGACGTATTTATCATCCACCGATGGCTAAACTTTGAGCTCGAGAGTGCGAGGACTCGATCGAACCCCGGGCACATCTATATATAGAGAGAGAACGAAGCAAAAGGTACATAACGAAATATCGCACGCGTATCGAAATGCCATTTCTCGAGGTGCAGTACTATTACTGCAACTATTTCGGAGAAGAGAAGCACACAAAGCCACACGCGCTGCAGCTTGCGGCTACGAGAGAGAGAGAAAATCGTGAATGGCAATTCGCGCGCGAGCTGGGCTTCGACTTCGACTGCTGCTGCTGCTGCTACGCGCGCGAAACAAAGTTTTGCAAGTTTCTCATGTGAACGTGTATGTGTATAGGATTTCTATGCGGCTCACACAGCTCATATACATAGATATCGCATTGTTAAGCCGGGGCGTCTGTCTCTATGTGAGCGGCTTTGGCCGAGCCCCGCCGATATATATTCGCGGCGACGAATATAGGTTTTTGGGGTATATACTGCTGCACCACCGCAGCAACTATATAGCCCGGCGAAATATACAGACGCTGCTCGCTGTCTATTTGCTTGATTGAATTTCTTCGCTCGCAATGCGAATAAATACATTTTTATCTCGAATCTTATAGTGCGGATTACTCGTGATCTCGCCGGTTATCGATCGATCGATGCAAGGATTCTTCGCAATCTCAAGTGCATCGGAGCTTTCGATTTTGAAGCCGCAATATGGGCCCCGGCACGCACAAAACTGTCGAGCGCCACGACGTGCGGATATAATACGAGCACCGAGGGCGGTTTTAAAGCTTGGCGTCGCTTACGGGAATTGGGGATGCGTTTACCAAGAGAGCGAGAGAGAGAGAGAGAGAGAGAGAGAGAGCGAGGGCCATACGGATTCGGTACGCACGTATACGTACGTAGCCGCCGCAGCTATAAAACTTTTTCTCCCATAAGTTTTTTACTATCGCGAGAAAAGGGAGAGAGAGAGAGAGAACAAGAAGAAGAGACTGAAAGTTAAAACATGACTATTCCCGCTGGGGTCTCTCTCTCTCTCTCTCTCTCTCTCTCTCTTCTCGAGAGGCAAAAACGGGCAAAAAGGGCAGATTCGCTGCATCTAAGCTACTGCTGCTGCTGCTGTGCAATGCATCGTGCACGGAATATAAGCTTTATCGAATAATGCACTATCTTTCTCTTCGCCTCTTTCTTCCGTCATGCCTGCAAGCAAAGACATCCAATACAAAAGTTGTTTTTGCCACAGCGCCCCCCCCCCCATTTGAAATACTGTAGTAGTTTTGTCTTTCTCCTTATTCGAACGATATCTGTTTCTCTCTCTTTTACTTGCACCAGTTGTAAGTCGTACAAGATTCAAATTTTCCATGTACACGATGAAAGATAGAGAGCGAGATAGCACATGTGTGCCGAGGAAAAAATTTTCGGATTTCTATTGGGACGAAAAGAGCTTTACGAGCAAAAAAATAGCTAAAAATAAAAAACGATCCGATGCAACTCTTAAAACTTGGCTATAAATTAGACTCTGGCATTGCATAGGCGCGCATTCTGGCCTCGTCTTTTGTTTGGCAGAATCCTTCGAAGGAATTGTTGACCAGTTAAAATATTAATTGTTGTGAATGTTGTAGAAATATTGTATAAACAGATAAATCGGTACCTCGATTGTAAACAAATTGATCGTAAACGATTTTGACATATTTCCTCGACACACCGATCATGTTTATAGTAAAATCGAATTAGTTCAAGTGTTGTCTTTCCCGGTGAAATAAGCTATAACACCTAATGATACATTTTACTCATTCCATTTCCTAAATAGAAGAATACGTCATTTATTCGAGGCACTAAAATGGATAAAAGTGAAAAGAAACCCGAAGAAGTTGTTTCGGAAAATGATTTAAGTGAACACGACATTGAAGTTTCCTACGAGAAAAAATACGTTTTTGATATTAGTCAGGAGACATTTACCCTAGAATCGAGTATCATAACACACCGAGACGCTACTCACAATGAACACAAAAATTACTCATGCGACAAGTGCAAGAAGAAATTTGAGTTCCGAAGTCATTTGAGTAGACACAAAATATCAGAACACAAAAATAGCAAAGATTTAGCATGCGACAGATGTGAGAAGAAATTTGTGAAAAAATCTAGTTTGTTTACGCACCAAAAATTAGTACACAAGGATCGCGAAGGTTTAACTTGCAATAAATGCGAAAAAAAATTTGAAAATAAATCAACTTTACTCAAGCACAAAAGAATATTTCACGAAGTTTTCAAAGATTACTTGTGTGAAATGTGCGCGAAGAGATTTGGAAATAAACAGAGTTTGCTCGTGCATATAAAGACAGTACACAAGGGTCGCAAAGGTTTCACCTTGAAAATCTTCAAAGATTACGCATACGACAAGTGCGAAAAGAAATTTGGACAAAGGTCGAGCTTGTTCTCCCACCAAAAGAAAGTACACAAAAGTCGCAAGGATTTCGCTTGTGACAAGTGTGAGAAGAAATTCGGAAATAAACAGCGATTGCTCAGACATCAAAGAACAGTCCATGAGGGTCGCAAAGATTACGTATGCGACAAGTGCGAGAAGAAATTTGGAAGTAAATCAGATTTGTTGAAGCACCAAAAGACTGTTCACGAAGGTCGCAAAGATTACCCATGCGACAAATGTGAGAAGAAATTTGGTTATAAATGGATTATGATTCAGCACCAAGTAAAGGTTCATGAAGGTCGCAAAGACTTCGCATGCGACAAGTGCGAGAAGAAATTTAAACAAAAATCGGGTTTGTTCTACCACCAAAAATCAGTCCACGAAGGTCGCAAAGATTACGCGTGTGACAGGTGCGAAAAGAAATTTGGATACAAACGGTATTTGGTTTGGCACCAAAAGACAATACACGATGGTCACAAAGGTTATGCATGCCTCTATTGCGAGAAGATATTTGGACATAAATCGAGTTTGCTCAGACACCAAAAGAAAATACATAAAGGTGTTTAAGACTATGCAAACCGCAATTGCGAGAAAAAATGACGATTGACAATTGTAAATATGTATAGATACTCATACATATGGTGTTCTAAAATTTCAATAAAAATTGTGCTGAAATAATTGTGTATTAGGCCTATTACCAACCCTTGGGCGTTCAACTATCTTCACATCCTTTTTCACTATCGTGGTGTTTTATTTTTGAATCAGATGACTGCTAATTACTATACTTTCTATGCATTTTTGGGCGCTTGTTTCTTAGCTGTTCTAGCTACTTGGTTCCAGCTATTTATGCAATGATTAGATCAGTCGAATTTTTTCACGTCTTAGTTGGAACTGTGAATGGGGCGAGGACTTACTCGGCTTCAGGATTTTTGTTAAACCTCACGTAACAATATTGCGATCTTGAATTAATCAAAAGTGCACTTTTAATTGATATTGATAAACTTGCTGAAAGGCGGATTATTTCTGCTTAAAAAAGATGTGATTGGTAATAACAATACGTTCTATCTGAAAAACCATATTTAATAATTTAATTGAAACTAAATAATGTTTTCTAAATTTTCTCTAAAATTAGTGAAAGCCCTCATAATTGTTTTCGCATTACGTGAGCAGCAAATGAAAGTTTCAGGGAATGGCTCTAATCCACCACTGATTATGTCCTTTAAGTCTTAACAAAATGTTGCATTATTACAAACTAATGTTTTTTCTTCCAAAATTCCAGAGGCAAGGATGCATTCATGGAGAGGAACTGCCTTATTTTTTCGGTGCACCACTGGTCGCCGGACTCGCACACTGGCCAAAGAATTACACGAGGACCGAGGTCGGCCTCTCAGAAAGTGTGATACTCTATTTGGCCAACTTCGCTAGGACTGGGTAAGATTAATGCATAATTTTCTATGTATACCGGCTTATTTTAGTCGTGATCTATTCTATAAAAAATCTTTACAATTGGAGATAGAAACTGTTTTTAGGAGTCCCGAAACATGGAAGAACGCGTAAACATTAGAGACTTTTATTGGTATCTAGTCTGTAGGACTATTTATGTGTTCCTGCGAGAACAAAATATCGTGTTTAATGGAATGATCACTTTAAAAATGATTATGGTAGTAATGCACACAAAAATTTTCACCTAACTACGTAACTGAGGCTTTCCATCACTTTCTTGATTGTATGTATTCACTATAAATTTTTACGATACACAACAAGAAAATATTTAAGGTTATACGCCGCAAATAACTGACATACTTTCAATCAATCTCTTGTATAGTACTAGCATATAGCATATATTATATCTTTTCAGGAAAATAATTAATAATTTACGAATAGTAATCACTTGCTCGTCTTGCAGCTCAGTTTCACACCAACCAGTAAACACATCGGTTGTATATTAGCAAGGTTATTTCACGACTATGATACTCTTTGGCGAAACTTCCCCCCCCCCTTTCGTGTGGCGATTTTTATCTTATCCGTTGTTACCAATATCTGCATTGTAAATGGTGATAGTTCACTATCTCTATGAGATGAACTTTAATAAAACCTTATCAAACTCAAACTCTACATTCACCTGCGTCCCAAGCAGTGTCTGAGTGTGTTTCGCTTTGTTCTCGATAGGGCGTTTGCAGATTGTCACGAAATGGTCACTTTACTGATTTGCCTGGAGGAATAACAAACAAGGTGTTGTGGGTTAAGTAAATGAGAGACCTTGTATGTTATTCCTCCAGGCAAATCAGTAAAGTGACCATTTCGTGACAATCTGAAAACGCCCTTTATGTTTCGTAAATATTCTCGCAATAGATTTTACATGAAAAATATTTCAAGAGAAGCTCTTTTTATTCTTTAATTCGAATTTATATGACTAATCCTACAAATCGTGGAAGCTGTAGGAATGTTAGCCTATTAATTTTTTTAAATCATTTAAAAATCTCGTATTCTTTGATCTCAAATCCTTTTCAATCAGTAATTTTCCGTAGTTAATGAAAGTTGATTTCATTGAGTGAACGGTTTTTTTTTAAATGTTCTCATATAATGTGACATTCTATATGCATTAGCGAATAAAGCAAATCTCTATTATTCAATATAGAATTTTGCGGGATATGATTTAGCCGACATTAACGGAAGCGCTGAATTGCAATTGCATTTAAACCTGTCCGAATGTGCGAACATGATATAAAATAACATTAATGAACGAGTGCGATATTTATATACACGCAATGTTCCGGAGAAATAGAGACATATAATACGCCGTTGCGTCCGTCCGCAAACTTTTAATTATTGCCCTCATCTCGCTCGAATGGCAACGAAAGAATAAATAATTCGCTCGCCTAGCTCGTATTCAAAAGTACATTACGAGCCCAGTTATGGTCTCGAGGCTAGATGTACGTTTGTACGTAGCACCACCTCGTTCGAGTCGCGTAGCGCAAAGCCTAAACAAAGCTCGTGAATTTTCTATACAACGCCATACGTACGCGCGCGCTCGAAGGGAGCGGCCCGCCCGAGAGTTATCCTTGTTACACGACGTTTCGAGTATATAGTAAATACAAATGAAGCGATAATAAATATCAACAATGCGCCCCGCGAAAACTAAAAGTGCACTGACTGTCCCGGCGCATGCGAGCTGTTAAGCCGCGTGAATTATTTACAACCCTATGTACGCGCGCGCGCGCGAATCGAATAAATCAATTGACGCCGCGAGTGCTAGCAGCAAAGGCAAGAGAATAATTTAGTACTCGCGTGTGTCTCTGTGTGTATCTGTACGTCGGTGCGCTCGCAGCAGCATCAGCAGCCGTCGACAAAAGCTCAATATATATAAACAGCCAAACAAAGTCACTCGTGAAAAAGATTAATGCACTACGTATATGATCCGATGAGCACTTAGCTAATTATTTATTATATATATCTCGATACTATACATTGTGCATACCTATGGAACAAACAGATGCTCGAAGCGTACACGCGTTTGTATGCGCATTTGCAGCGAAGCTTCTTTCATTTTCGAGAGCAAAATCGATCCTCATCGTCGATCTATAGATGAATTATTTGATAAATGTCGGGAAACATTTTAAAGTTAAGAAAAAAGTGAGAAAAAAAGAGTCAGGAAAAATTGTTGGTCTTTAGTGAGTGACTGATATTATCATGTACGTAACGTACGATTAAAAAATATTATTGACACACAAGAAGCCCGTATAATTAATTGTATCGGAGTATATAAATCGAGAGTGCATTAAAATATATCGATTCGGCACGAATGAAGCTGGGGCGCGCGACTCCGTAGAATACGAATTTGCATGTATAATCTCTAGCTGATCTGACGTTGCACCTCGTGCGCCCGCCCGATCCGTGATCAGAATTTTCACCCATATTGTCGATCGATACATTAATGCAGTCCCTCCTTTCTCGTTACATGTATTTTACGACCTGTATTATGCTTCAGGCACATTAGAAATTGAAGTAAACGCAACAAATAGCTGTTACATGCCTCGTTGTAAGCTTGAAAAGTTTGTATTTACTGTTTAGTCATTCAGGGAAAATATACATGTGTCATGAGAATGAATAAAGTATTATAAGCGTAAAATGATGATATTCAAAGTTTAGAGTTGGATCGTTTTAGTTGCATGGGATACATATTCAATAATGCATACTCGAGGATAAAAAAAATTCAAACGCTGGGTCCATTAAGATATATATTTGAGTTCCGGCAAGCTGAATTGCATAGACTCACCTTTACAAGGTTGATTTGGTTATTTACTGTATAGCTCATAGTACATTATATTCCCTGAGTTGTTTGCCAGTTTGGAAACATGATTAATAATTCACAAAAGATTTGATAACCCGTCAATAGATGTCGCATTTTAAACGCGCTGATTATAATTAATAGAGTTAGTCACTCATATAAGACTTTTTTTTTATCATCGCATATTAATTGCATTTTGTGAATGAATGAGACAAACCTCCCAGAGCGCACTTCGTACCCGACAAACTTACAAAGGAGATCTACCTAAGATAGGGCTGTGATTTACCTTGAGAAAATAATTAAGTATGTGTATTGAATTTTCTTGTCTATGATTCGTGAAATTTCGAAGGCAACTTATTTTTTATAGATTTCTTTCGGTCTCCTCATTAGTGCAGCTACAGTTCTGTCCCCCCGTATTCAGAACTCAACGAACTCAGATATACTCTAATCATCGATTTTCATAAATTTTTTGACGCATTTCGAAACATGAAAAAAAATAATGATTTTCAATTATAAATATAGAAAATATTTATCATTGCAGAAATTAAGCAAAATTCTACAATGCTGGAATTCAACAATTATTCTTTTTTGACAAGAACAATTTCTTTGATTCACAGAAATCCAAACGAAGGAACCCCCGAGCCGGGCTCTCCAGTGTCCAGACCGGAAAGATCGAAACTCAAAAATCTCGAGTGGACTGCCTACGAAGCAGTTCATAAAAAATACATCAGCATAGGTAAGTCGTGAATACAAATTATGTAAGCTTCTCGATGCGCGTCAAAAGCACACCACTAAGTACGGCACCATGAATCCAACATAAATCATATAAATAAGCTTTCAATCATACTTGGAGAACATCTTTGGATAAAATTCCACGAGCCCTCTGCAGTATACAGTGGCACGTTTACCCGCAGCAACAGCTTATTTATCTTATTCCAACTCGTTTGTGTTTTTCGCGTCAAGTTTCCCTTCGTATATAAATACGGCAGCCAAGTTTTTTTTCCCACCCACCCACGGCATCTGTTCCCGTACACTTCAAGTCTCGCGGCTTATGCAGTCCTCTAAGTAACGCGCATACATATACACACACATACGCGCATATACTGAAACATTGCGCGACGTATACGCGTTACTATTTTACTCGGGGATATAAATTCACGAGACAAGCTCCTCCTCCATCGCTCGTAATCTTTCTTGCGTTTTCTCGCGAGTGAAAAATTGAAAGAACAGCCAGTTACACTTATGAAAATAATTTTTATCTCGCATAAATAAGCGTACATACGAAAAGTGTACATTTTCCTTTTCAGCGATTCCTTTAATGTCACGTAGTAAAGTAACGCGTAGAATAAAAAGAGAGAATTTTCATTATTTGGAAACTTTTTGCTTGCCTACTCGAATCGATTTGAACCATCGAGCAAGTTCGATGCTAAGCAAAATTAATACACGAAAATCAAAATAGACGATGCATCGCGCGTATACTTGGTCGGAAACTCGGGTGTATCCATTTCTCGCTCGTTAAAAGTTTTTGTTTTTTCCGGATACAGGCCTATTTGAGCGCATACGCTGCTCTCGCGATATCGACGCACACACACAAGTTTCGCGCACGAGAAGGTGGGTTGGGGGAGGGCTCGATGATTCGTCAAGTATAGGACACATTGAGGCGCATTCGTCGACTAATTGGAATGAAAGTTTACTTTCTGCTGAAGAGGGACAGATAGAGAGAGTGAGAGGTGGAGAGAAAGAGAGAAAAGTTTCGCTCGGATGGAACAATCTTGAATAAAGCTCGGGGGAAACTCGCGTAGATTTTCTTTGTGACAATTGAATAAACACACTCTCGCTGACGAGGCGAGAGAGAGAAGGTCGGCAAAACAAAAATCTTCACCGAGGCACATCCTCTAGGCACTTGTTCGAATTAACCTATTTGCTTTCTCGGGCTCTCTCTATATACTGCACTGTGCGATCCACTCTCCTTTTTTTGCTTTCTTTTTTAATTTCCCGTCTTCAATCGAAGAGAAAAAAGCCCAGGAGCGTACTCGTTTTATATATAACGTATATATATGCGCACCAGGCATCGATGATCAATCTCTCTTTCTCGCTGCTTCTTTTTTTTTTTACGTCTTTTCATCCGCAACTTTTGCCTCTACCTATCGCTCGGCTCGTTCATCTTCTTCTTACATTCAAGCTTTAATTCTCCTCCTCGCTTCTCTCCCCGAGCCCCCTGGCCTCTTTCTTTTCTTCGATGGCTGCAAGCTCCGACGCCTCATACTTATCTATATGTATACGGGCCTGCCTGAGCGAAGCTAATGCTCGCTGATTAGTGGACTCTCGGAATCAGCTGCGCGCAGAGGAGGGTAAAACCTTCCCAGCGGCAGCAGCTACAGTGCGTGAGCTTCTCTGCTCTCTCGGGCTCCGCACGGACTCTCGAGTGCAGGAGGCAAGGAATATTGCCCGAGAAGATTATGTAGGAGCATTATAGACTAAATAATGCAGAGAGAGAGTGCAGGGAATACGGAACGGACAGGATGTCGTAGGTATATAATCATCGAGAGATGGAGGAGAAAATAAAGCTCGAGCGACAAAAATCTCTTAAATTGATTGAACGAGTTTAGCGTTTATATCGTGGAATAAAATAGCCGTTTGTCTTTGCTTATGGGAGCTGCACCGTGCGATGTCTTCCGCGCCCCACTGCTCTGTACAACGTAAGTATCGGGGATAAAACTGAGTAACTGCGAGGAACCACCTTGTCGACAAATGGATATCCAAGATGTATACATAAATAATAAATAGCGTCGCGTCCGATGGATTTCGAGTGCGGGAATAAACTTTGCTCGAGTGGTCGTGAGCGCACACACGGATATTTTATTTTCTCCTTTTTACAAACAAGTGTACGCGCGTGTGCGCGCGATGTACACTTGCAGCTAGTACTGCGCCGATATACATACATGCGAAATAAATATATATATGTATATCCGTACGTGGCGAGAGAAAATTTCAATTCGAGCTCTCTTCGGGCTACGCTTCGAATTCCGAACGAACGTTTTTCACTCGGCTGAATTGTACTAATACTTTTTTTCCTTTTTTTTCCTACGCCCTCTTCCCGCTCATCGAATAGCCTCCGCTGTACATGTAGGTATACTGCTGCGTGTGTGTGTGTGTGGGTGTGTACACGTGTATTGCGCATATAAATTCAGAAAACCTTAGCGCGTTCACGGCCGGCGGGGCTATCGCTCGATGCTCGCTCCGAGTCGCGCGGCGGCGCGCAGGCATTGTGTGTCCCGCGTCGCGTGTAAAAATGATACTATGCGCGCCCGATTTTACTTTTTCTTTCTTTATTCATATATCTACGCTAGAAAACGAAGGGAGAGAGAGAAAGAGAGAGACGGAGTTAGATTTCCTCCCGACGCGCGATAGCGCAACGGCAAAATATTCGACTTTATGAAAAATCATAGCTGGCCGGAATCGTCTATTTATCTTTCTCCGGTTTAAGCGCGTGCGGCACACGTGTGCGTGTGTATGACTGCACATGCAAAATTCCGTGACCCATCGGTCGCTACGTGCGCTTCGCACTATGACACACATACTAAACAAGCGTGCATATAAACGCGCGCGAGCTTGCGGATGTATATTTTACGCGGCGAGATACGCACGGCTCTATCTCTGGCACACTCTGCAGCGAGAAAAGCCGTTCAATTCATTGATTATTTGTTTGTCAAAGTTGCGCTCTCGATCCAGCCGCCGCCTCACCGCCTGGAGAGTCCGAATGCACATACATATAGAGCTATAGTTATATATAATAATAATAGGACAAGTGCGTGTGTGTGCGAGTTGGTGTTTGTGTGCGCGCCTGTTTACTCTCGGGAGGCAAAGTTCGCCTATATACAAGCTTAGCCGGGATATTGATTGTGCTCGCCCATAACACATATACACACACACGATATATATGTGAGGAGTATATACTTGAGGCCGAGAATTCGATAAAATGATATGGTTCAATTGTGCGCTACGCGGGTCATATACCTGCAGTACGTCTTCGCAGCAGAGAGAGAGAGAGAGAGATGCGAGAGAGCTGTTTCGAGGGGCCCCTCCCTCGTTCGCCACCTCTGCCTGCACGAAGAAAAACTCGATCCTATTCCTCCTCCTCCTCCTTCTCTCGCGTTGCACATTTCAATGATAGCGAATGTCAAATATTTATTTTACACGTACATATATGCGCAAGCTCGCGCGATACATCCAGCCGGATATACGAGTACATTTTTCTGCCTCGCGCGCGTCTCTGTTTACTTATTGTGTAGCGGGCATTTTTCTTCGAGTTTTGAGAGAGGAGAGAGAGAATGAAAATAAAAAGGAAGAAAGGCAAAAAAAGAGCATCCGTGCGGACCGGGCATGATGCCAGCTCGAACAAACAAATAGAAGTAAATGCCACCCCAGCTAATTGCAAGGTCTATGTGTATTGTATATAGGCAATCCTTTCGTTCTCGAGGATAATTCGTTGCCTCGTACCCAATCTTCTCTCGTGAAAAATTCCGCTTTGATTATGACCTTATTGAACACTAGGTAAAGTACAACAGCGTGATGAAAATCGCAAAAGTGCTATGTATATTATGGAATATTGGGCATTTTACCTCGACGTAATAAGCCGAAGTAAACCCAAATTTGCCGCGATATGCGAACCCGATTCAATTAAGAAAAAGCCACGTATTATAACGCTGAAAATTAAGATAAGACCGGGACGGGTACATAAGAAAAAGCATTATATTAGCACGTGAGAGAGAAAGGGAGCTTTTAACTTCTTTTGCCTGGAGCTTGCGTTATAATATCGTAGGTAGAAAAAGCGACCCTCCTGTACGAGAGAAAGAGACACACATCCACAGTAGTACTTATAACGTGCGTAATAAGATGTAATTACGAGATGAGCGAGAAGTTTTCGTAATAGGAGCGCGCGTGGAGTATTTTACTCGATACAAATCGCGCCACGACTCGAGCTTATCATTTGCGTATAGTCTCGTTCCATATTAAATGATTATATCACCATATAATATCAAAAAAAATTAAGGCGTATCATAGAGCTCGTCCTTCAAACGCGATGTATTGCAGATGAAAAAGATCGGCGCATCGAAATAGTAAAAGCGTGAGCTTACAATACACATTTGATCAGCAACGCGAAATTTTTATGCATACCGCGCGCAGTTTTTAGTCGCGGTCAGCTAGCAGCTGCCATGAGCCTTTTTTTGCCTCTCACCCGCACACGCGAACCAAAATTAAAATAATGGTGATACGTACGAGATGTCTATTCCATAATTCAAACCTTATCTACGCGCGAGCGCGTGCGTGCATATCGTACCAGGGTACATACAAACGTGCGCGACAGTAGTACTACGCAGTGTAGTTCGTATGTTTCTCTAACAAAAAATTAAAACTAAATCGTTTGCGCTCGCTTGCTCTCGGACCGACTGTGTCTGTGTATTTGTGTGGGAAAGCACATACAGCTCGTTGCAGCTCGTTGCGTCTAAAAAACTTTTTCCACTCGTACTGTACTAGCTCTAACGCGCGCGCGTGCAAAGATAAAAAGAGAGGATAACGCAAAGCTTCATTACGTAATTATACCTGCGCGCATTTAGAATAGCGTCACCCCCAAATGACGAATCTCGAGAGCAACGTATATGTTATTATGTATAATACAAAAATGCACAAAGCATATAGAGGCAGACGCGTACGAACGCGGCGGCAGTTCAAATGAAAATTTCACCTACTTCTGCGTTGGTCTGGCTACGTGTGTGTTGGTGTATATAAATGTTTTAATGGTGCAAAAACTCGCATGGCTACCTCGCGCGGGTGTGGATGTAAGTACGAGCGCACGAGCTAGTAGTATCTCATTTTAATAATACGCCAGAAAAACGAGTTTATTATTCATTTGTTTAATTTAATTTTTATTTTTTTTACCTCGGATGAAGTAATTAGATCGATTATACGCGCATGACAAACATTCACTCTGGGAGAAAATATTAATACTCGAGTCTGGGAAAAAAATATGAATCGCTCGAAGACTCATTTTCCAAATAAATCAGCTGGATTTTTACACATTAATATATACAGTTCTCACTTTCTCTTGATACGTCGAAGGAATTTTAGTATACTTTCCCTTTTTTTCCCCTTAACCCTGTGTCGATTCTGTCACACCTTTCCCTCTATCCCCATTTATCTCTCTTTTTGGACTATCAGAGATGAAGTCGTATGAATTTCAAAGTGAGAACACGTAAGAGGTGTAATATGTAGTAATGAGCTTTTCGATTCCGTCAACAGATGGAGCATTACAAATTCGCAAAAGCAAACAATTGAATATTTACGAAAAAATTGTTCCGATGCACTTATAAATAAAGTGTGTCTGTTGCTTCCATCGAGCCACTTTGTCTGGCAGTATGCAGTCAGCTCCTGGACTCTAACCAGAACACATTGCCAATCGACTCGCGCATTGTCACCGGATAGTTAACACAGTCGTCTCCTGGATTTACATCTAAGCTAATGCCCAAGAACAAGGTCTAGGACTTAATAAGATTCAATAGAGAACTCATTAAAACAACTAAACCTGGATCTATTATTTCATTCCCCTCTTCACTTTTTATTTCAAGCTTCAAAATCGACCGCTAGATGGCCCAACCCATGAAAGTCACTCCCTCAAGTGACAATCCATTTTTTAGACTGCTAGTAGGAACTATCGTAACTTCCAAACCAACATCCTCACCAGACACCAATACGTCTGCGTATCAAGTTGCGGGTTGGAAAATACAATGAACATGATAGCTTATCATGTACATTGTATTTGAGGAACCAACAAGTGGGACGTTGACTTTTCTCCCTTTTCTGTGGTTTTTTCCTCCACACTATTCTGACTCATAGTTTCTTCTCCATTTTCTGTCGTTTTTTCCGACTCACAGTGCTTTTCAAATTTTCTGCCACTTTCGTGAGGAACCAACAAGTGGGACGTTGACTCTTCCAAATCTCTTGCGATCGCCTCAATTGCGTCTTGTTCCGCTTTTTCTAAAAATGATGCAGCTTCGACTATGCTCGATGCAGCTCCGACTATGCTCGATGCAGTTTCGACATTGCTCGATGTAGCTCCAACTATGCTCGAATCTATCAACTATGATTGAATCGAAACCTTTTGGTTAGAGACGAAAAAATTATTAGATAAAACAATTTCCACAAGAACAATGGGAGGAAATTCAGCTTACACCAGTGCAGAAACAATAACCGGATAATTATTGTTGTGATGTTTATGCTTCAGCGTTCACCGAAGAGATTGCTTTAGATAGAGGACCCAGAAATTACCACTTCCTTCGGAACGGACTTGTAACTATTCTAAAACGATTTCTGAAAAATTTATAAAAGCCGGATGAAAAGTGCAAAGTAATTGTCCCTTCAACACCCTACTGATTAAAGCCAAAAATCAGAAAAACAGAACATCTTGGCCCAAAATATACCCGACTTGATCTATTCAGGTTTTATTTATTCGCATTGTTTTAATGATAATACCTGTTTTCATTGTTGCAGATATCAAATCAAAGCTGAAAAATCACTACAGAGCTCACAGACTGTCGTTCTGGTTGAACTTGGTGCCAGATCTGCACAAGCCTGGCTCCGACGACGTTCCCAGATCTCATCACCTATTGGACGCCGAGCAGGTACATAATATTATATCTTCGATCTTGTCTCAGCTCGACAAATGCATAAATACTCTGACACTTGTATGGTTTCTGTACTCATCCGACTGGGTGCATGTTCGCAGGTACCTCCGCGATTCATTCAGAGGCTACCATCGACCTCGACGCGCGCCACCACCGTGGAAGCGACGAGCCCGACCCCGACGAACGTCACCACGGTCCAGCCGAGCGAGCTGGCCTACGAGGAGTCGACGCCCCAGCCGGAGGACGGCTTCGCCGCCTACAGCACCGCCCTGAGCGTCACCATCGCCATCGGCTGCAGCCTGCTGATACTCAACGTGCTGATATTCGCCGGCGTCTACTATCAGCGCGACAAGAATAATCAGCAGCCGCCACCGAACGGCAGCAGCAACAGCGGCAGCAACTATCCCAAGAAGAGGCAGGAAAACGGACAGATGCCCAACAATATATGCGGTGAACTCGGTGGGTACACCAGTCTAACTCGACAGCTTTTATTTTACCTATATTATAGCGTGATTATCACCCTGCTTTTTCGAATACAAAATAGATTCCAGCAGTCTATCATTTAGCATTATTGCATAGCCTGATCATAGCGCTGACGTTTACATTTTCATCCATAAAAAGAAGAAAATTTCGACTACTCAAATTTTTTTCCTGCTCTCATACATAGGAAAGAATAATAGAACCTCTTACTCTTTACCCGAATTTGCTTATTATGAAACTTTGAAGTGAAAATTCATTCGTCCGTAAAAAATTAACTGACCATAGCTATGCGTGTATTTTTAGAAATCATTGGCAAACAAAATGATTTCATGCGTGATTTTAACTTATTTGCTTAAAAATTAGACCACATAAATATATAACAGAGACTGAAGTAAATGAAAAAGTCAAACGTCAATGTTTAGAGTAATTTTCAAGATTCAAAATGGCGGATATGAATCGTTAATGTTGAAAAATCAAATTGAGTTCTCCAATTGGCTTGGTTTCACTTTGTGACTAAACATCTGCACTAAAAAAGGTGAGCATTAACAAAATTCAAAATGCCCTGACAAAATTATTAGATTAATTACTTCGAATCGATAATGAAATGAGTTGTTTACAAGCTGGCCATTATGAATTTTGAAAATGTACACTGTATACAAAAAGTTCTGCAATTGGCTGTGATTCCATATCTTGAAATTCGGAATACATGAAAAAAGAAAAGTCGTGCACTCGATCTTCTCTCCTTTTTGTTGCAAAAAAAAGAGAAAAGGAGAGAGCTATGCCAAAAGCCAATTAAGAAAAAGAACTAAATGGGATTTTTCATTTTGTTTTTGTAGGTCAACCGTACTGGATACGCCAAACCGAAATGTGAAATTTCACTTCAATATATCGCTTTATTACCGATATATCGGCGTATAATCTGCTCGAGGCACCGATATTAGCCGGCGTGTGATTTTCCGTAGGTTAGCTTTTACTGAACTGAACTGCATTATAAAAACAACACGAGAAAAGAAAAAAAGACACACTGTCACTTAATGCAGCACGCCAAAAAAAAAAAAAAATATATACGAGCATCCGAATTAGATGAATGCAACACACTCGAGCGCATAGCATTATCTGCACAGTATATCCGCACATTCCATCCACCTGCACCAATCGACACATTCACGTCACACTGCTAGAGTAATCAGAATTTTTTTTCTCATTCAAATGATAAAATATCTATATATCAAATCGACATCATTATCATCATCATATGCATTGATAATAATACGATAATAATATATTTGCAAATCAACGTGATAACGTATTAAAATTGCTCAAGACTCTTTCATGTGACAAAATCCCGCAGAGGGCAAAGGGTCTCTAGCCGGCAGCGGTGGCGGGCATCACGTGTCGATCGAGCGCCACCACCACATGCAGCACCATCACCTGCCGCCGGCCGTGTTCGCCGATCCGCCCAACAATCATCATCACAATCACGGCATCTCGGTGCCGATGCCGCCGCCCCCGCCCAAGAACGCCAAGCCGAGCATCATCGCGACCAGCGACAAGCTCCAGTCTAATCAGCTGCTGCAGCAGCAGCAAAATCTCATCATCAGTCCGAACCATTTGCAGCAGGTCGAGATGGGCATGTCCATGCAACAAGCCGGCAGCTCGAGTACCTTGAAGAGGCAGCAGCAACATCATCATCAGCTTGCCAATCAGCAGCAGCAGCAGCAGCAGCAACATCATCAACAGCAGCAGCAGACCATAATGGAGGAGCTCAGAGTCTGAGATACGATGACTCGCCACGAGTGCGTCGAGTTTTCTTAAAATTAAAAAAAAAACTGAACACTATAACGAACAAAAAACTTTTCTATATACGTGTCTCGATGTGTAAGCCACCACCCGCTGCGTGCGGTGGTTTCGATTGTGTACATACTTTTTATAAATATATATTATAAGATAAGGCACATCTCGCGGTACGGTATGGTTTTCGTGGGATTTCGAATCTACTGCCATAAGTGTTAATTATACTTCGGAATCCAATAACAAAACTTACCTGTCGCCGTTGATAAAGTAGCTCTGTAAAACCGATCATTGCCACTGTAAATACGATGGATTTTTTAATATACTCGAGAGATGCATTTTGATACGCTCCTTGTGCTTACGTGGGAGAACGTTCTTATAAAATCCTGACATTGTGTTCGATCGACGATTGTTGTTGTTTTTTTCACCTCCTCGTTGTTACAATTGATATTGAGACAAACTCGAGGGATCGAATTTTATTTTAAAATGATATAGGCTGAAAATATTGCATTATCGTTGTATCGACGGAAACTCGACCAAACAGAGTTTCTTCGATGCAAAATTACCGTTTGCATGAGACTAGCAAAGACTTTAGAAAATGTAAAGAAAATTTAATATGAAAGTAATTCTAAAAAATAATGAAAAACTGATTCTGTCGTTGCGAGACGTGGATTGATATATCTTTTAAATTTTTAAAACTTAACTGGGTCTCGTTTATCATTTATCTCATGTAAAATACTATCGAGGTATATAATGTTTATATTCATGGATAAAATTTAGCTCGAACAATTTCTCAACGAATCTCGACCCCTCCTTTTACTATAACGACTAAAAAAACACAATAAATAACGATGTAGAGCGTGTCGGAAAAGACGTTTGCGTTAACGATACTTGATATAATTATACATAATATTCGCGAATGATAAAAAAATAAAACCGCAGCGTTGATCGTGATGAGACAAAAGAAATATAAATATATATATATATAAATAAATATATCGATCGGTTGTTCGTGAGTATGTGAGTTGTGTGCAAATGAAAAAAAAAATTTCTTAAAACATGAATGTGATTCTCCACAAAAGTATATATATAGTCTAATTTATCCTTGGGGATAATTCAAAGTTGCGACTGTAATGGCGCGAGAGACCGAGAGTCGGCGGTTAATTGTGAAAATGAAGCGCGCGAGTGCGAGTGACGTTTTATTATGAGTTTTGTACAAATTTCATTAGAAAATTGCATAATCAACGAGTGCTTGCGTATACATATTATATAGATATATTTATCACTCTGGAACTGAGATTTGCATTGCAATATTTCATTCGAAATCACATTTCGACTTACCAATTACGAGTTTTGCTGTTCTTCGACTTCCATAAATGCTGTGTAATTAAATTTGCACGGCGAGCGAGAAGAATTATAAGGTTTATGAAAAAATTCAATAACTGTCAAGCGACAACATATAGATTTTCTAAATGAGTTGAATATAATTATTAATTGAAAAAGTTCCAAATTTATTTGTTATTGTAAAAAGTTATTACATTTATATTGAAATGTTGGGCGCCTTAAGTAATTAAGTTTTTGAGAGGCGAATAAGACGAGTTTAAAATTATCGAGTTTATGAAAGAAAATGTGCTCTTCTTTATGTATGGAAAAAAATTTGTGCCGTACACAAGTTAGGGAGTTGCGTGACTAGTTTATAAAAAAAAAACACGTCATACCGGTGAAGACTTTTTTACTCCAAAATAATTACGACGCCAAGTCATTTTGCGGTCGACGATTTATGCAGTTCCGGAACTTCAACGCTCAAATGTATATAAAATTCATAACTTCTCGCGCCGGAAAACAGCAATCAAAAAAAAGAATATTTTCCGCTCAACATCCTCAAAATCTGTGAAATCTTGAGTGAAAATAGGTCATTTAGGAGGAAGAACTATTGTACACATTCTGTAAAATAAAAATCAGTAGAGCAAACAAGAATAAATATAAAACTGGTTTATTATTTCGCATGCAAATTAAACATTTTCACTAGTAAAAATGATAAATTTTATTATGGTTTAATCATTTATTATTGTCAACGAATTGAAAAAGGGGAATGAAATCATCCTGAAAAATCTTGTTCAAAAGTGATCAGAGCTGAGTAAAAAAGTTTCGTTATATTTTTTCAATATTTCTAACGGTGAGACGAATTATAAACGATTGTTATTGATTTTTTAAATCATAATTAGGAGTAAAATTTTAAAAAATCATTGTTGGAATTCAGCTTTATTTCTGTGACACAGCTCCAAACTCCTAATAAACATAATTTTTAATTTGTACATAAAATTGATATTGAAAAAAATAAAGACTATGTAAACAATTACAAAAACATAAACCCAATGGTTTTAAATTAATTTTTGCATGAGGCTCCCACAATGATTCACTAAATAAAGGTTTGTAAGACTTATTTACATCAAAAGTGTAATTCAAATTTATTTTTTTTTGTTTCTTCATCAATTTGAGCTTACAAACTCAAACATCCCCTCTGCACTCGGTTCGTACGAAGCTCTCATTAATTTTTTTTTCATATTGAAATATTAATTCGCTAGTGTCTTGATAGTTCACCTGTTATCCAACACAATTATTCTCACGTATAAGAACAAATCATGACAAAATTTTCCTTGAAAAAATCCATTCACTCCGGTACTTGTCGACCTTTATTCGAAACATTTAAACGCTTATAATGCTTGCACTTATTGAGTTACGAACGGCACTCGGAAAGTCTCATTACAATTACACTCAGTCATTAACTATATACGTGACTGAAAATCGGTACGTACGCGACTTCTGGCTCAAGCGTTGCTCTTTTAGAAGCATTCTGTATTAACGAAAAAACACATGAAAATATTACTAGTTTTTTTTTCATCAACTATCTTTATTTAATCATCAAATTTTATCCCGTTAAGAAATCTAAAATTTCCTCGAATCCGAACGCGATTGTTGAGAAAATTCAATTCGAGTCAATCGATATACGGTCCAAGGACATTTTCGGTAACACATCCGCAGTAGAAAATTTATCACAAAGTTAGAAAATGTTTCGTTTGCAAAATTACAGTATCAAAGACAGCTTTATTATTTAATTTAATTTTTGGTTTCTTGTTTATAATATCGATAAACTACCTGTAGTATACGTTTTGTTATTTCGTTTTTATGCGAATTTTTTATCTACTCGTTAATTGCCAATATCTATTACAGCTACCGCTACTCGTGCAGTCGATGAGGACAACTGGAAATTACACGATAGTATGAACTTTTATCACTATAAGTACAGCTGTTTATTATAAAATGACCAACTCAGTCGAATTGTAGAAAATGTGGACTCGTACAAATTGTAAGCGTATTTCTGAAACATAAATTATCCCGATTTCAGCTATTTTACTTCTAAACCTCTTTCGGATTTGACTTCGTGTCAAGCTGCTTTGAGGATAGCACGATGAGGGCATACAAAATATTTTGACGTGCTGAGTTTCGAGCTAATTATTGTAACAGCCACTGATGTGCGTATTCTTCGTTCAAACTCAACTATTCGAAGGTCCACACATGGAAAATATCATTTTCATAGCAACCATTTAAATCTCTATTACTTGTTATTAACAAAATAAGCGATGCAAGTTTTTTTCTGTTTTTTTTTGCTTTTTTTGCTTTTAACGTTACATATTTACCTACAAGGCGTCGAAAAAGCGTCAGCTACGATCGTTTACTAAAAAATCTACAGTTTCATAATTAAGGTGTAAATTGGCAACTTTCTTCATCGAAAAACTTCCTCGTTTATTGTTTTAGGCACACACTCATTCGTTTGGAAGATTGAAAAAAAACGATCGTCTAACGTTCGACAATGCACACTCGTTTTTTCGGCATTGAACTTTCAAAAACATTCACTCGACGGTACATAATTGAATTAAATTTATTAAATCGAAACCTTAGTTCGTGCGGGACTATATAACATACGATACACCATTTTTCTACGTATTATATCATGTTCTTACTCGAAGCGTACATAATAAATGTGACTCAGTCACACTAGCTTTTTCACCAAGTTATTATGTCGTGTTGCCTGAAAAAACATAATTCGCAACTTACATTATTAGCTGGTAATTGAAACGTGCTCTTCCGATAGCATCGTGGCGTAACGCAGGCAAGAAACACATGTCGGGCGGCGAAAATTTAACAAAGATCACGGCCCTTTCGCGTGTAGATTCGTCATTCGCACACTCCCACACGATGATTCATGAAGAAATCGTTCAACATTCACTTTATCCGATTAGATGGGAATCGTATAACGTCAAGTTTATTTTGTGGAAGTACATTCATCTTTACAATACAGTACGAATATATACGTTTCATTCATTATATTATCCCAATGCTGTATACAAAAATAATGTAGAAAAATTGACGGAGCTCGCATCGAAGTTGCTTGAGCGATTGAGCAAGATAATAAAAAGTTCGGGTCGATAACAGATAAGCAAATTACCCATTTAGATAAAATTTTCTCGTAATATTTGCTCGATAGCTCGAACAAAAACTATGTGCGGACACGCACAGTTACTTAGTTGAAATTGAGGTGTAAAAAAATGACTTATAGATGCGTGTGTACTACGCGTTTACAAGTATGCTTCTCATGAGTCGACTATGTGTACGGTGAAATTTTTCGCGCACTGTTGACTTCGTAACACACAGAATGATCGCACGAAAAAAAGAGCTACGTAGTCATTGTCATGCGCGCCATCGTTATTGGTAATTTTTTCTTGGCATGTTTTTTTTTGTTCTCTTTCCACTTCGATGAATATTGATGCCGAGAAATCTTTCTAGCAGATGCAGCCACCCTCGCCCTCGGCCTCGCCGCCGTTTTGCATTTGCTGTTGACTTTGTAGATCCACGGCTGTGCACGGTCAAACGGTTGTGTGTTAAGGGTTTATAGTGCATTAGTTGGTACAAATCGACAACACAAGTTGAAGCAAACCATTTCTCATGCTTAAATTTCAAATAATAAACATTTTACATTACTTTTAAATAAAAATGTCAAACCAATTTATTTATGAGCAAAATTAAAGCTTATAAAAATTTTTTTCGTCTAATTTCATGTAAAATATATCATCTTAATCATTATTTACTCAAATAATTTTTTCACTTATAACTCCTAGAAATGCTGAAAAATACTTTTTTCCTCATCGTAAAAAATTGGTGCGAGGTTAATCCAAATATATTTATCATTATGTATTCGTTTCCGCAAAAAACGCGTAAAAAAACGTTTAATAAAAATAAGGCCACAAGTTTAAAAATATTGATGTATTTATAAATTCAAAGTTATAATACTTATATTCATACATTGTCAATGAAAAATATTCATTCGGGTGAAATATAATAAAGAAAATCGTGTAACTAAGTTAATTAAGAAAATATAGAATTTCTCAATTTTTTCACGATCGTTATATACAAATTAAAGTATAAGTATTTTTTATTTCGTTAGTTAATGTTCTCTTAGCCGATGCATCGAATCGTCTAAATATATTTCTCTCTCTCTCGATAAGTTGAACGCTTTTAGTATCATAAGTAATTCTATCCTTAGACAGTCAAGTTTTTTTACGCAAGCTCAATCATCAGTAAAACCGATAGTTCTATTTAAAATTCACTGACGCTTTTGATTTATACCCTTACTCTCTGAAAATCTCATTGAAGTCAAATTATCAATAGCTTAAAAGTTAATATTCTGATACCGCGCGAAAAATGCACCATTTCATTTAAAATATGTGTAATTATTGCTATTATTGCTATAACTATAACGCGTGATAATAACTTTAGAACCATCCATAATATTTGCAAAAAAATCAATCAACTTTATCAGTGAAAATAGAATTATATACTTCGAGGAACGTGGCAACAATAGACTCGAATATTCATACATGATCAACAGAGATGCTTAAAATCGTGGTTATACGTAAAATTACGACCGATTGTCTGAACAAAAGCGTTTTTGGCAGTAAAAACTCTTTGTTATTAATAATTGAGCTCAAAAAACATTCCGCTTATATATCGTAAGTCTATAAATTGCATTTTTTTTCTCGCGAGACGATAACAAGTACCTGTCACGCATATAATATTCGTAAAAATCGTCAACAACCATGGAGCAGCATTATTCTAGCATGCACAATTGCTCTCAGAGGAATTCAGTTCAATGGGTGTATCCTTCAGTACTACTTCTTGCACTACAATAAGTAACAACACAAAAGTGTTTAAAAATCATTAAGGAAAATATAAAAAATCATAAGTTAGAGCAAAAATTATAATTAAAAAATAATGGCAATTTAGATGAAATCAAATATAGATAAACTTGAATATTTCATGCAATTACTATTATTGTACGTTGTATAATCAATTTTAAAAGGATACTGTCTTCTGGAGGTTTATTTTCAGTTGAATCCATACCAGGTAAGGCAGCTGCTACTCTCCTGAATAACTAAAACACAAAAAGTTCGAATAAGAATATTGTAGCATTAGAAAGTTATAAAATAGTCATACATACCTGTTTGACATTGTAGCCAGCCTTAGCACTAGTTTCAATAAACATTACATTCAGTTCTTTTGCCTTGCGTTCACCTTCTTCAGTGGAGACTTGGCGCTTATCACTAAGATCTGTTTTATTGCCAACAAGCATGATGATTACATCACTTCCTCGTTCCGTTCGCACATCATCAATCCATTTTGATGTTTGATGAAAAGAATTTGCATCTATAAAAAATAAGAATAAGAATAAGAATTAGTTGAATTAATCAAAACATAGTTCAAACTAGGTTGAAAGTAATATAATCTTACTAGTAATATCGTAAACAACAACAGCAACAGTTGAATCTCTGATGTAGCTAGGAATCAAAGAACGAAAACGTTCTTGTCCGGCAGTATCCCAAAGTTGCAGTCTTACAGTTCTATCTTCTAAATACATAGTTTTACTTAAAAAGTCTATTCCTATAGTTGCCTGAAAAAGTTTTAAATAGTTTTAGAAAAAAAGTAATTTATTTTTTGAAAAACAAAACATTCATGCATCCGCAAAATTAAAATTTTCAATTATTTTACAGTACACAAGCTAGAATTTAAAAAAAATACCATAAAAGTTTGCATAGAGGATGAGTCATGCATGGTAATTTTTGAGATAATAGATGAAAGCATCTTCCCAAATATTCCAATGCAGAGGTAAAATTTTTTAGCATAGAAAAATATTTAAATAGTAGAAAAAAATAATCACCTGATAAGTATTATCAAAACTGTCGTACATGAACCTCGTTATGAGCGATGTTTTTCCAACTATAAATAAATAAGCAAACAAACGTCAGAGTCAGAAAATTGTAAACAAATCCTACAAGTGCAGATTCTCGAATTGCACCTATGAAAATCTATTCCCGTTATAATGCCTATGCCTATGCGCATTAATATTCCCATGTGTATAAATGGTTAAAAGAGCAATAGTACAGTAATGCATACAAGTCGACTTTCACTGGTGCGCTGACGAGAACATACACAGTATGTGTACCGAGTATCGATCTCATTATAACCTTTCGCGAAACAATTCGCAGGAACTTTCGCTATGCATTTCCAATCGCCCGAGGCGACCAAGGCCCTAAGTCAAGGTGCGCGTGGAAAAACAGTTGATACGTACCACTTTGTTCGCCGAGAAAGACGAGCTTAAACTTTCTCAGAGGGTTGCCGAAGTCGCCCGACGATGACATGATGATGCTTGCGCTGCCTGAGCGTCCTCCGCTTTTCCAAACACGAACACACACAGCAGCAGTCAATGGGCGATCTGTACTCCGTCGAGGTCACTGAACCGACCACCGGACGATGTCTCTTGTCAATGCCAAACACGGGACAAACGCGACGGTGTAATCGAAGAAAAACGTCTCCTTATGGTTAATAATTATAGCAGAGGCCTCCCGACACACAACAGACTTATGAGTAATAAGAGTGTGGGTGACGTCGACGTCGCGGCTGAACTGCTCTGCCAATTGCTAAACATCTCTTGGCGAATTGACCCAGGCCCACTTGTGACGAGATAATTTTTCCCCGTTGACTGTCCTAAATTGCTCTTGGATGCCACTGTACGAAATTGTTTGCAAAATTATTTGCGCGTTTATTTGTTTTTGAAAAATCGCCAAGAAACAACGTCTCTGTGAAATCGACTTTGGATTTATTTTGCAACGCATTCGTGGCATTATGCATGATATTTTACAATTTGTTCGATGATACGTATTTATCTAGAAAATTACGTGCGATTGACATTTTTTTAAAATATAAATTTTATATAAATTATTAATAAAAATTGATTTGCCTTGCACTTGAAATGTTTTGCAAATCGAAAAAGAGGCTGCGCGCGCAACCATAGAGCTGACGTGCCTGCAGAGTGCAGAGTAGACGGCATAGAGACAATTAAGGTTTGTGCAGAAAAATAAATGCGAAATACGCACCAACTACTGTCCTAAAAAGATCTATAGTTAGAATTGTTCATTCATCGTTTTTATTATACATGAATTTTAACACGTGACTTATTTTTGTTGGAAATCGTAACAACCATCGTTTCTCCATTTGCTAAATTTTTCAATTTGGTTAAACCAGCAGTGGTTAGAGAACCAGCAATGCGAGCAACGAGAGCAAAAGAGACGAAAGCATATATTCGCGAGCGCCAACCAATAGCAGCGCGCGAAATCAAAATGTCACGACAATTATCAACAATTTCTGGAAAACAAAAAAGCGCGCATTAATGTTGCATGCACAGATGGGTCCCAGTCGCGGAGAGCAATTGTCACACAACAAACACGAGTCGTTCGATTTTTTATAGGTGTCAAAGTCAGTGAAATTCAATGTTTTTGTTTTCTGTTCCCTCGTACTGTGCTTGTTTACATTTTACGTGTGCTCTTGACGTGTCAGCAAACTCCAGTGGATTTTGCTTTGTTGTTATAAAAGCCACAAAACAAAAGATTATAAATTAAAATTCATTCCTTCTAATAAAGTTTGACTGAAACAGTATCAAAGGTGCAATGGCTTCTAGCTGCAGAAAAAACGCTTCTGGTGAAGATACGGTCGTAGATCCTAAAATGGGTTATTTTTGTTTTGATGTGTTACATGCCCATCTTTATCATCAGGAACAACCAGAGCCTCCGAATTTCTCAAATAAGCCATAGTGAGTAATATCCAAAGTGAACTTTATTATTTAAGGAAAATTAAAAAAATATATTTTCAGAAATACATTAAAATTTAATTAGTTTTCTGGATAAATTATTGTAAAATACCAACATTCTTATTTGGTTTATATAGATACCTTTGCAGAAACAATGAATCTTAACTTTTGTTGGCAAAATCTTAAAAATATCATAAGTTTTTATTAAACAATTTATGAAAGAATGCTACAATCTACAAACTCTACTGAGCATTTCTTTATAAGATACTATAAATAATATTTGTAATATTAATGTAAATAGGCCTGTTTTTTATTGATTTTGATTTTGAAAATGTACATAAATAAAATTTGTATCATAGTTGATTTATCGAGTGCTATCTGCTTAGACTAGTAATTAAATTGAAGATCTTGTATATGTAAATTTCAATCAATATATTAAGATGACTAGTCAAACGTATCTCAAATTATCAATGTTTGATCTGAAAATTGAGATGTATAAACATGAAATATTCATAATGAAATAATAAAACTGTGCACAATTATATCTAATTATTCCCATGATAAAGAATTTTAGAATGTCTTGCTAAAAATGAATTTATTTCATCAATTGTTTATTAACAACTTGGTTCAACTGTACAATGTACGTATTATGATTATTTTATGAAAATAATAAAATTTAATCAAGGACAAAATATTTTGCAATTTCAAAAATAAAATTTGTTTTTTTATTACTTTTAGCCCACTTTTTGTCACATGGAAGATTGGTAGTGATCAGCGATTAAGAGGCTGCTTAGGAACATTCAGCGCGTTACCACTTCATGAAGGACTTCGAGAATATGCAGCTTCAAGGTGTGATATTGATGGCTATTATTATTTTAAGTTGCTTTTTAAAATCTTTTAGTGAAAATGAAAATAAAATTTTTATTATTGCGCTCTATTTCTTGAACAAAAATTTTTTTGAGCAAAAATCCAAAATGACCTTATAGTTTGTACCTTCTCTTTTTTCAAATTGATACTTAAATTATTAATAAACATCCTTATACTTATGTAAGCCCTAATCCATACTAATTCTTTTGTAATGACTTTGGTTTATCAAAATATATTTAAAGCTTCCAGCCTTTTTTATTCACAAAATTTACAAGAAAAATTTTTTTATATAAATTGGTTTTTTTCAGTGCTTTCAAAGATTCTCGGTTTAACCCAATAACAAAAGAAGAAATTCCTAGGCTTCATGTTGGTATATCACTCTTACTGGACTTTGAAGATGGACGTGATTATGCAGATTGGACTGTAGGATATCATGGTATTCGAATTGAATTTATAAGTGAGAATGGCCATAGAAAAACTGCAACTTATTTGCCTGAAGTGGCTCATGAACAAGGTATTATATTTTTAATTTTATTTAAATTTCTGTTATATTGGTTATAACAAATATTCAACAATTAAAACAATATGCATAATTAACATGCATGAATACTTTTAAAATTTTATTAACATACATCGAAATTGATTAAATGATAACAAAACTTAATTTACAGGTTGGGATCATATTCAAACTATTGACTCTCTTCTACGTAAAGGAGGCTTCAAAGGTAACATCACACCTGATGTTAGAAAGAGCATTAAATTAACAAAATACAGAAGTGAAAGAATGTGTATTAGTTATGAGGACTATAAAAACTATTGGTGTAGTAGTAGGGAACGTTGAAAAACTCAGGACTCTATAGAAGACTCTAAATTAATTATCATTGATTCATTTTGAAAAAACCTACTTAGATAAGAATATGCATTGTTTTATATAATACTTTATCTGACTTTTAAACATAGATTGACGCTGTATACATTTACAATTTTTTTTCAATTGTAAAATACTATGAGTGATATAACAAGTATAATGAGAAAAAAATTATTTACCTCTCAATTATTGGGTGTTACCTCGTTCTTTGCTGTCATTTATTTTATTTTTTAAGGAAAATTAAATAGATGATTAAATTACCGTGTATTTTATCAAGGTATTCTATGAAAAGCTTACAAAAATCCTAGAAAATTGATTTTTTTAATAAGAAAAAGTGATTTTCCGCAAAAATGTTGACATTTTAGCTAAAGGCTTTTTTTATGAAATTTCACAATTTTTGCGATTTTACCAATTACGATTTTTGACAGTTTTTATTAAACTCTAGAAGTTTATATCAGCTTAAATTTTCTCTTTCAAGATTCGAAGTTAGCGTGAAAATACGTGAGAATTGTTTGTTTTATCTAAAAGACCGACAAATTACTTTGCTTCGAAATATTTTTAATCTGATGAAGACAATGAAGTTATAAAAAGCACTTCAATGCCTTATTTTTAATAAATGTAACGAATCAAAAAGAGCAATTAAATACTTTACAAATATTCTGTGATGGGTTTTCGTGCGCCTCTATTTTTCTTTCGAAGAATGTTGAATAAAAATGACAACAGCACGATTTCAAACAAATTTATGCATCATATCATTCAAAATTCGAAGCGATTTTATTGTTTTGAGCGAAATTCAATTCTTATAACTAAACAAATTGATTTATAAATTTTTCTCGATTGTCTAATAATCTGAAAATATCAATTATTGAATCAAATTTTTCGTATGCAATTGATCATGAATAAAAATTTATGTATTCAAAAATTTTAGCGAATAATATCTACTTGTTGAACTCTGAAAATTCATCACGGACTCATAGGTGCTCGATAACGCAACTATACCATTTCGATCATACTGTTCAAAAATGTTATGTATTCGTTGTCGGTACTTAACCGTTTCTTTTGGTGCATCCTGTACATTATGACCTAAGTTCAGTTCTGAAATCATAATTCTCACACCAACCGGCTCTATTTCAATTTCAATGAGAGAAGAAATTGATTCAACAGGGTGGAATTTTGGAACAAGGGTAACATAATTAAGCGGGTATTGAAGCGCTTTGGTGCTAACGCAGTTGATCACACGGGTCAAATTTCCTACTGTTCGCGAAAAAATGTTAGTTAAAGGCTTATCTAATGTTTTTAATGTTAGTTAAGCCCTTAACTAACTTTAAATGGAAGTTAAGATTCAAAAGCTTACATGAAATGTAGTTCTTGAATATCACTAATATAAAACCAACCGGAATCAGTAATATAAAAGTAATGAAAACTTTCAGAAAACTTCCAGAAACTTTTCTGAAATTTTGCAAGGGAAGTTTCGACAAAAGTTTTTTTGAAGGTTTCTTGAAAACTTTAAATAAGCTTGTCTACAAATATTACAGAGAAGATTACTCAAATACCATTCTGAAGCGCGATGAAAACTCATGATACGGTTGTTTGAAACTTACCGGAAACTTTTTGGTTTTCTTAAAAATTTCGTGCTAATCAAAACTTCCAAAAAATTTTCTGATTACAAGGAAAACTTCACGTAAAATGTTTTGAAAGTTTTCATGACATTTTCAGACAGTTATTCGAAATCTATCAGGAAACCGTAATGAAAAACATTCAAAAAGAATGATAAAAGCTTTTCGAACGGTACTGGAAATAATTCAGGAAGCTTACACTAAGGTTTTCATGTAAACCTCTCAATAGTTTCTTGAAAATTTGCGTTGAAACATTTCAAAATATGAATAAAAGTTTTAATGAAACTCAAGAAATTTGTAGATTTTTACATAATACTTTGCATATAATGTTTTAGTTAACCTGTCTTTAACATTACAGAGAACATTACACAATTTTTCAGCCTGTGTTCTGATATGTTAAACATACATTTTCATGAAAGAGAATACGAAGCTCTTGGGAAGGTTTCAACGAAACTTTCAAAAAGCTCTTTGGAATCTTAAGAGTAATTTTCTTGCACTCCATAATGAGAAAAACTATACGTAAATGAGGTGTTTGTCAATCTTGCACTCGTGTCAATACAACCCTCGCTATACACTCGGGCCTCACCCCCCGCCTCAGTTGCGTAATGTAGGGGAGATCCGCCTATGCTGGTGCATCACCTATTGTGGTCCACTTTTTATTAACAATGATAAGATATGCTCAAGTTTATAAATGATGCTAAAGTAATTTGTTGATACAAATTATTTGTATGTTATTAATTACTTTAGCATCATTTATAAACCTGCATACATATCTTATCATTGTTAATAAAAAGTGCGCCACATAAGGCGATGCGCCAGCATAGGCGGATCTCCTCTACTAATATCAAAGTATTATAATATGAATTTTGCTATGTTATAGCACATATTCAAAGAGTCCCCAAGGCAAAATTTTAAACCCCATGATCACTCCTACGCCCTGCAGCCCTTGTATAAATTTCTGTTTTCTACCGATACCGATTGCAGCCATTTTTGACTTGAGAAAATTTATGAAGGTACATTACAACAATATAAATCACCATGGATGTTTTGAGATTTTTTAGATGCTTCAGTCCCTCAGAAAAGTATCATCAAAAATTTTGAAAATTTATATACGGCGCTACGATGCAAAACAAAACCTGAACATTTTTTTCATTTTTTCCATCATATTCATACCTTTGAATTATTCAGACTTTTTCATAGAGGGCACTAGCGTCTAGAGCCGAAAAATGAAATTTTTGGGCCCGCCGTAACCTAATGGGCAGAGGCTTTGCTCTCTGCCCGGTAGTTCGGAGTTTTTTTTAACAAAAATAGGTCGCAGAAGCCAGAGCTTTTACTAAAAAAATTTTGAAATTTCTTTCGATTATTTAGACAAATTTTAAAACTTTTTCATTCTTTGAATTTTCTTGTTTAGGTCTTTTCTTTTCATGGTTATATACTTTGATGGAAAAAAATGAAAAAGAGTTTTCAGGCTTTTTTTGCATCGTAGCACAGTATATAAATTTTCAAAAATTTCGATGATTTCTTTTTGAAGGTCTGAAGCATCTAAAAAATCTGAAAAAATTAAGGGTGGTTTGTATTGTTGAAATGTACCCTCATCAATTTTTTCTTTTCTTTTTAAGTCAAAAATAGCTTCAGAATCGGTATCGAAAGAAAATAGACGTTTACAGGGTCGGGGTGGGGAGTAGGAGCGACCATGGGGTGTAACATTTTTGTTTTAGGGCTCTTGTACAATGTACATACCAAAAGCGCGTTTAGATAGATCGGTGACACACGCACGCACGAGTATTTTAAAAATTCTAAATCTTACCCTTACATATTTTCTAAAATAATGTTTGATTTTTTCAAGTTTATCTCCTTTCTTTCTAATTATATGAAAAATTTCGAGATAGAAAACTACATTACAACCAATATTTTGGCATTGATGCAACAAGTATCAGGATAATACTCATGTATATACAATCAACAATACGGAAGACCGTAACGCGCGAAATCTTACATGAGATCGGCCTCAATCGGAGTTCATCGCAGTTCGTTGTCCCACTTGAGTTTAGCGAGCGTATGGATGTTGTTGCCGCATACGTATATACCCACACACAGAGACACGATTCACGGTCAATGCTGCCAAATGAGTGTACCCTTCTTCTTCGACAAATATTGAATACTAAAACGGAAAGTAGTGCGGGATGAATTAAAATTTTCTTTTCCAACGCTTATAAACACGAGATCAGTGATATAATTATTTACAAACGAGGAATGGAGTGTTACTTAATAACACTTATCTAGACAGACTTTCACATCGTTGAGTATATTTTTCGACGCAGTGGAACTTGTTTTAAAATTTACTCCTTTTATCTAATCGTGATAAAGCCATATGCAACTTTAGGGCCGCATCGAGACATCGTGTATTTGTTGTGACGAGAGTTCGTTGTCCCAAGAGAGTTGGTTTAATTACCATAGAATTTCTCAAGTGACCTGTCATTTTCGGCACGAATATCTAAACTCTCAATTTCAACTCTTGAGCATTCGAAAAATGTTGTAATGACGAGGCCTTGAAATTTAAAATCCCATCGATCTCACTAATTCAGAGTTCATCGACCTCTAACCTTGATCGCGCGCGCGGGCTCCTCGGTAAAAATTTCGTTTTTTATCGCTTGTTTTGACGCGAGATAAATTCAAATCGTCCTTATAAAACGTATAATGAAACTGCGAGACAATGGAGCAATGAGTGTATCATTAAGAAGTTCGCAAAGCTATATCATACATCGGCGTTCGACACCTAATAGAGTTGAATAACCTGACGCAGGCTCGTCTTCTTCATTTACATTTTGCGGAAACGATTTTAATTTTATCCGTCAGCATGTTAACCCTTGGATCTTGTGGTTTTAAAACAAACAAAACAAATTATCGAGACTGAGATTAAAGTGGGCATCCTACAAAAGACTGTTTACGTTCGAAAAACGTCAACGTAAAACGTGAATCCCCAAAAAATCGACAAGTGTATGCTGGATGAATTCTACATAAAAACCATCGTGTCTATTGGTGATTTTCGGTGTCCCCGTAATAAATAAAATACTCGACAGTCACGACGACGATGTCTGTGCACATCGAGAATGAGATTTTCTCCCGGAACGAGTACGCGAGCCCGAGTGTATGTGTGTGTGTGTGTGTATACGTGTGTCCGTGTGTGTGTATTACTTGCCACGCGCAGCAGTGCAAGTTTGCTTCGCACTTGAGCTGCTTCTGCGTATCAAGGTCTCGGTCAATGTCCTTTGCCGCGCACTCACAACTCTTACTACTGTATAGTCGGCTTTAGTCACACGGAGTCTATATATAGACGGTTTTACAGAGTGTGTTGCATAAAATACAATTTTGCGCGTGCATTTTGTAATCAATTGTTCATTAACCCATAATTATAAAAGGTGTGCAAGCGGATACGGAAAAGATTAGATGGTCCGTTTTGACGAAAACTCAGAGAAATGATTTTGCACCCTCGTAATGATTCACGTAGTGATCGTAGTTAAGATAAGAGTTTAAATCACCGAAGGCAATAGTTATGCG